CGAGGGAGATCTACGCCATCCACCAAGGCGGCACTTATTGCCGTTACCACAAAAGCACCTCCCACAACACAGACGATTGTGTCTCGTTAAAGAAGGCTATTGAACTCTTAATTCAACGGGGTGAGCTCCACCAATTCATCAAAAATGCCCCAAGGAAAAACACCGGGGAGAACACCGATAAAGAAGAAGGGGACATCGCAACAAAGAAACATGAAATCGGGAGGCTCAGTGACGGAGAGGAGTTCGAGGAGCCCCAGTCGAAGAAGCGCCACCTCCGCTAATCATGTTCCTCACCTTCGGCGTTAGTCTCAGCCTTGGGCCCTCGACCTCGAGGCACATTACCATCCCCTCGGCCTAGAGCCCTCGACCTTGAGCGGTGAATCTTAACAAAGCCGTTGTCAAACAACGCACCCCTTGTATTCCGCTTATTTCTATGAATTTAAGTAAACTACAACACAATCCAGACATCTTATCGGCCCCTTCGAGGCCAAATGCCCAGGTATGGCCGATGGTTTCTAAAGACGAGGGGCCTGCAAAAGGCCCGCGTTTTTGGAGCGGGACGCTCGCCGCGTCGCCGACGCGCAACGCACGGCGACAGGCCTGAAAGAATGGCTGAGGTGACGAAATCCCCAAACTTGGGGGTGAAACGGCAGTCGTCGGAAACCGACCAAGCCTAGCCCACGCCGTAAATAGATGACGGGACCCCCCAAGGTCAAGGGACGGTTCAGCGCTGGGGGACTAACAGACGAACCCCCGGACGGATCACTTGGACCCCCTTCCGGCCGAGGCGGGGAAGCAACCCCCTCGGCCGAAGCCTAGAAGAAGGAACACACATCAGGAGGACTAACATACGACCTCCTGGCACAATCAAGGGACGGCCCAGCGCCGAGGGACTAACAGATGAACCCCCGGACGGATCACTTGGACCTCCTTTCGGCCGAGGCGGGGAATCAACCCCTCGGCCGAAGCCTAGAAGAAGGAACACACATCAGGAGGACTAACATACGACCTCCTGGCACAATCAAGGGACGGCCCAGCGTCGGGGGACTAACATACGAACCCCCGGACGGATCACTTGGACCTCCTTTCGGCCGAGGCGGGGAATCAACCCCTCGGTCGATGCCTGAAAGAAGGAACATACACCCAGAGGACTCCTGGAACTATCAAGGAAAGGCCCTCGGCCTCAATTCGATTCCACGTCACCAATAGCCCTCGGCCTTGGCATGATTCCACGTCACCAACGGCCCTCGGCCTCAGCGTGATCCCACATCACAACGGCCCTCGGCCTCAACATCAGACGGCCCTCGGTCTCAAAATCAACAACGGCCCTCGGCCTCAACATCAGGACGGCCCTCGACCTCAGCATGATTCCACATCACAATGGCCCTCGACCTCAACATCATACGGCCCTCGGCCTCAACATCAACAACGGCCCTCAGCCTCAACATCAGAACGGCCCTCGGTCGCAAAATCAACAACGACCCTCGGCCTCAACATTAGGACGGCCCTCGGCCTCAACATCACCAAAAGCCCTCGGCCTCAACGTGATTCAACATCAACAACGGCCCTCGGCCTCAGCGTGATCCCACATCACAACGGCCCTCGGCCTCAGCATCAGAACGGCCCTCGGCCTCAACATCAACAACGGCCCTCGGCCTCAGCGTGAGGACATCACAATGGCCCTCGGCCTCAACATCAGACGGCCCTCGGCCTCAACATGACTCTATGTCATAACGGTTTTGGCCTTAGCGTGATCTCACATCACCAACGGCCCTCGGCCTCAGCGTGATATCACATCACAACGGCCCTCCGCCTCAACATCAGGATGACCCTCGGCCTCAACATCACCAACGGCCCTCGGCCTCAGCATGATTCCACATCACAATGCCCTCGGCCTCAACATCAGACGGCCGTCGGCCTCAACATCAACAACGTCCCTCGACCTCAGCATCAGAACGGTCCTCGGCCTCAACATCAACAACGGCCCTCGGCCTCAGCGTGAGGACATCACAATGGACCTCGGCCTCAACATCAGACGGCCCTCGGCCTCAACATGACTCTATGTCATAACGGTTTTGGCCTTAGCGTGATCTCACATCACCAACGGCCCTCGGCCTCAGCGTGATTCCACATCACAACGGCCCTCGGCCTTCATCCCTCCGACATCTTTATTTGATGTCAGGGGCTATCATACAGGTCCATCGGCCTTCATCCCCCCGGCATCTTTATTTGATGTTGGGGGCAATCACACAGGTCCCTCGGCCTTCATCCCTCCGGCATCTTTATTTGATGCCAGAGGCTATCATACAGGCCCATCGCCCTTCATCCCTCCGACATCTTTATTTGATGTTGAGGGCCATCACACAGGCCATCGGCCTTCAGCCCTCCGCCATCTTTATTTGATGTCGGGAGCTATCATACAGGCCCCTCGGCCTTCATCCCTCCGACATCTTTATTTGATGTCGGGGGCCATCATGAAGACCCCTCGGTCTCCATCCCTCTAGCATCTGTATTTGATGCCAGGGGCTCTAACACAAGCCCACCCGGCCTTGCACCCTTCGTCACCTTTATTTGATAACAGGGGGGGTCCTTACAAGCTCCTTAGCTTTTTCATGCAGGATCTAAGGCTGATCTTGGATGTCCCCTCAGCAGACGGACACAACCGCCGCTCAACAATCAAGGCCGAAGGGTGCACTCCTTTTGCTTGATTCTGAGGGCATCCGGTGTACTCCTTTTCCCTCATTAGGATTTTTTCCCACAGGGTTTTTTCCTAATGAGGTTTTTAACGAGGCATCTCCCCATTGTGGAGCAAAAGGCGTCACCCCTCGGCGGTTCCTGCTGAAGGCATGCATCACTCTACTCCCGTTTCCCTCGAGAAACTCTCGGCAAAAGGAGTGGGGGACTGGGGGACTCCCCTCGGCAAAACACGCAAATGTTAAAATTTTTCTATTTCTCAGCTACAGCAGGCTGAGGCAAGATCACAATGGCAATCTACTCCCCTCGACATGATGCTTTCGGCTTACAGAATGCCTCCGGCCACATGATGCCTCCGACCACACAATGCCTTCGGCCACATGATGCCTTCGGCCACATGATGCCTTCAGCCACACAAAGCCTTCAGTCAACAAATGCCCTCGGCAAAGCACACAAATGCAGATCTCTCATTACTGTACAAACTACAACAAAGAAACACATACGCGCAACACACTTACACTCCCTTCAGGAAGCTCTCAACCCTCGACATATGGGGGAATTGAGAAAATGAGGCACCCAACAGGACAGGGAAGCCTTCGGGGAAATCACCACAGCTACTCCTTTTCCCTCAAGTACCTTTCGGCAAAAGGAGTGGGGGACTCCTGATGGAGTATATGGCCCAGGGACCCCCGGCCCACATACTTCCTCTACTACAATCAGGCCCAACAGGCCCAAACGGGCCAAGCCCAGCAAAATGGAGCTCTGAGCAGCCCACAATACGCAAAGGGGTGCCTTCGACCCTATGGCCGAAGGCTACCAGTGACGGAATCGAGCTCAGAAACATCACAGGAGAACAAGGCTTGAAAACCAAGCCTTCGGAAACTGCAGCCCTCGGCAGGTAGGAGCCCTCGGTTAGAAGAGGCATCACAGGAGAACAAAGCTTGAAAACCAAGCCTTCGGCACCTGTAGCCCTCGGCAGGTAGGAGCCCTCGGTTAGAAGAGGCATCACAGGAGAACAAGGCTTGAAAACCAAGCCTTCGGCACCTGCAGCCCTCGGCAGGTAGGAGCCCTCGGTTAGAAGAGCCTTCGGCCCAACACCCTTCAGCCGAAGGCATCCACCTCGACAGAATATCCTCTTCACATGCGCTTTGATCACCGTACCAAGTACAAACGTCACATCCAACCACCGCATTTAATGCGGCCACATGCGAGTGCCAGTGCCACCCCGGTCGAGGTGACCTCTCGACCACCAGGAAACTGACACATGTCCTTATCTAGCATTTATTACTACTATAAATAGAACCCCTTTCCCCCATTGTAAACCACGCTGAATACATACCGAATATACACTCTCTCTCTTACTTATTTGCTCTGACTTCTCTCTAGTTATTCTCCGCAATAACCCCTCGGATAAGCTACCCCCCGGGTACACTATCCATCAAGGGTTTTCCGCTCTCTCTCTCTCTCTCTCTCTCAAGGGAGAGCAGCGGCGTTTTCCACGGTATACCAGAGGTGTTGTTCATATCAAAATCTTTCTATCTGCTTCTTCTTTATCTGCTAGATTATTTGATTGTTAAGTTTTGGGACTATCACTTAGATTAATACTACATACATCGGTCACATTTTGTGTGTCCTACTTTGGTTTGACACAATTATTAATAAAGTGATTGAAAAAGTAAAAGTTGTGATTGAGATTTAAGTATAATAAAGTGAAATAATGTAGACCACATATTTCTTTCCAAAAAATTAAAGGAAATATGACACTTATTTTGGAACATCTCATAAAGAAAAGTAAGAAAGATAAAATGGGACGGAGGGAGTAAAACTTTAGTTTTGAACTGATGGAGAAGGAAAGAAACTAGATTTCTTTTAAATATGATGTTGAACAAAATTGTGGCCAGATTCTTAAAATCGGAGAAGTAGACAATTGAAGATGAAAAAATAGAGGAATCAGGGAAGGAATTGGTCTCACGGATTGGTGAAGAAGATGAACTGACCGTTGATGAAGATGGTATATGACTATTTGCATTTTTTTAATAATAAAGTACATCGTACGTATTGGGATCAGACACCATGCGCACAGTGTAACGATCCCACGATATAAATTGCGCATCAGATTACCGTATCTAAGGACTAAAGACACAGTGTTCCTTTTGAAACTTCATACTCCCTCCGTCCATGAATTAAAGTATCACTTTCCTTAAATGAATGTCCTTTAATGAAATTCCCACTTCTATTTAAGGAAGAAATATTGCTTAAAATGACTACAATGCCCTCGACTTTTCGATTGCCCACTCATACGTATTGAGTACTATTCCCTTCTACCCTCCATTACTCTCACCCGTTCGGTTCTCAACTTCGCTCCTCTTCATCTATGTCTCTCTCCATCCATCCATCCATCTTTTATCCTTCATTACTCTCACCCATCTTTGCTGCTATCCATCCGCTTTGTCTCTCCATCACAACCCCCATCTCCACATGTACATGGAAACAAACCCTAGTCCTATGAAGGAATCTCCACTGATCTTAGTTTCCGATGCGAACCACCTTTCACATGAACCACCTTTCACATGAAAATCCCATTGCAGATCTGGAGAAACAAAGTTGTTCGATTTTCGATATGCTTTCAAATTCGGCCTCATATCAGATATCGCATGCAACGTCTGAGGCCCATCTCCCCCTACGTATTCATTTGGGTGACTCCAATGAATCTGAAATCGATCCAAATTGGTTTTCGAGGAAGAAATATGGCGACAACGTTGTCTCAGACACTTATGATGGGATGGAAGGCATGGAGGGCGGCGAGGAGGTGTGTTTGACAACAACGGGGAAACGAGGCTACTAGACATGGCTACCGACAAGGGATGCTTCACACGGCGTGGAGGAAAAAGAGGAAGATCATGGCTGACGAATCTGTTAAGGGGAGTAACGTGTAATTTTTTTTGTGTCCTTGATTTTGTTTTAGTTTGAAGTGCATGACATGTATGTGGGTTTTTACTTGCCGTGAAACTGATGATGAAATGGGGTTTGAGTTCAACGAAAATGCGTGAATACTTCCTTGATGTGTGTTATCTGAACCGATGCAACCCAGTTCCAAAACATAGGGATACTTGGTTTTAATTGCATTTGACATGGTGGTATGTTGCTAGTGTGTGAATTTAACATGATGGTTGCTTGTGTGTGCATTGCATTCAAGAAAACAGAATACATATATTTTTTTTTTTACTTGTATATGCCAGGAGTCATATACCAGAATTGTATTAATGAAACAGAAATACAAAAGGAAGGGGACTAGGCCAAAACTTCCTAACTGAAAAAACATGTCTAAAAACGAAAAGAAGGAATACCAAAAAAATCCATCCAATAGGCCCGTTTTGCATGGACCGGTAGTAAATTGGGCCTATCATAAAAAGTTATCTGATCGAAATGGACCGCTGCAATGTGATGGGCTGCCCAATTACATTCCCGGAAGGCGTGGGAGAAGCCAACCTGTTTCCTATTCGCCCTGTGTACGGTTTCCTGAATCTCCTTCTTCCATCTCCTCGTCTCCCTACCCGAAATATACTCCAGAGCAACCTTACAATCAGATTCAACAATGAAATCCGAAAAGCCCCTGTGTATCATCCACTGAGTAGCTAGAACGATAGCCCTGAGTTCTGCCTCTAATGCCGAGTTCGCACTGATAGGGAATCCCACAGCTAGGATCATCGCGCCGTTCTCATCACGTAAAATGGCCCCTCCGTGGGCTTTATCAGATAAGTAGCTAGCATCCACATTTAGTTTCTTCCTACGATGTTTTTGCCATTTCAAAACCTGTATAATATTCCGATTAAGCTTGAAATTTCTAGGGATAATGTGCTCATCGAGTAAAATACTCCCAACCTTCCGAATCTTTTTCTTTGGTAAAATTTGAACCCAACTGTGTATGTATAACTTGATTTGATAGATAATATGTTATGATGTGTGTCCGGCATCTCCTGAGCCCCAAATCAAATTTGAGTAAGTTTTCCACAAAAACCAACATATAATACCAAAGATGTTTTGTGCAATAACACCAACCAGACTTGTAGTACTTGATTTAGGCCTCCAATATTTAAAGGAAATGTATTCCTGCCCAGTAGGAATATAAATTCCCAGAGTAGCAATAAAATATTGCCAAACCCCTTTAGCAATAATGCATTGGAAGAAAAGATGGTTCAGGGAGTCACTTTGTCTTCTGCAGAGAGGACAAATGGAAGGGTTCAAAACCATATTGAACCTCCCTAGAGTGTCTGCAGTAGGGATTATGCCCTTGACTATCTTCCATTGAATCAGTTTAACTTTCATCTCCTGTTTATTATCCCAAATGTGTTGATATATAGAATGATTGAATGCTAATTCTCTGACCTCTTCGAAAGCAGATTTGAAAGAAAATTGACCATCCTGCTCTTCATCCCAGGTTAAGCAACCATTGTCATCATAGGATACCAGTGTTGAGGCCAGATCATGAGCACTGCATATCCTTCTCCAAATATTGGAATCACTCACCTTAGGTACCATATTATCTCCTCTAATGTATTTAGATTTGATAAATTTAGCCCAAAGACTATCTCCAGTCTTCCATTTCCACCACAGTTTAAGAGTGAAGGCCTTCTCAATGTCTGTGAGTGATCTAATCCCCAGACCTCCTTCCATAGTTGGTAAACATAGTTTTGACCACCTAATCCAGTGGTGCTTTTCCTTGTTATTAGAAGATCCCCAAAAGAAAGAAGACATTTTACCATTGAGGATCTTAATAACCTTCTTAGGAATTCTGTCAACTGCCAATGTATGCATAGGAATAGAATTAAGAACATATTTAATGAGAGTTAGTCTTCCACCTTGAGAAAGGTTCTTCTGCTTCCAAGGGGTTAATCTATTCTCAAACTGTTTAATAATATGCCCACAATAGTTAAGTCTATTAATGCCTTTATGCAAATTCACCCCTAGGTATTTAATAGGAAGGGGAGAGACCTTCATCCCCAAGATATCTTTAATAGCATTACTTCTTCTGGAGATAGACTTACCACAAACAATGGAACTTTTTTCAAAGTTGATTTCCTGGCCTGAAGCTTGCTGATAATCCTTAAGGAACTTCTTAAAATTAACCAATGATCTAGCCTCTCCATTCAGGAAAATAAGCAAATCATCCGCAAAGCCTAGATGAGAAATAGGAAATCCCTGCTTGCCCATCCAGAAAGGTTTAATCTTGCCATCTGCCATTATCTTATTTAAACCCCTGGAAAAAACTTCTGAGGCAATAATGAATAGGAATGGGGATAAGGGGTCCCCTTGCTTAACTCCTCTAGAAGGTTGAAAGTAGCCATGTGGTGTGCCATTAATAAGCACAGATAGAAATGTGGATTTAAGGTTATTCATAATGAGATGTACCAGCCTCTTAGAGAACCCAAACTGAATCATAACTCTGGCCAAGAATTCCCAAGAGACTTTGTCAAAGGCCTTTGCCATGTCCAACTTGACTATGACATTAGACCCTCTTACCTTTTTGTCAATGCAATGTACCATCTCCTGAGCTATGAGTATCTGATCTGAGATATCTCTGTTAGCCATAAAACCTGCTTGTTCCTGTGATATAATCTTAGGCAGAACATGCTTCAGCCTTGAGGCCAAAATCTTAGTACAGATTTTGATTGAAAAATTGGACAAACAAATAGGCCTGAAGTTGCTAAAAGATGAGGGATTGTCTGATTTAGTACATTATCATTGATAAATGCATATGGGCTTACAAAAAATTGTACATTACTGAATGTCAGTACGTAAATATTGTACTTTAGGGCGTTCAAATATACATACACGAAATCTATGAAACATTAGTCGCATATACAAACACAAAAACGTACCCAAAACATACCAAAAACAATTCATCTTTGAAGAATTTTCTACTATTCACTTGTGAACTGTACTGATGTGTGTCCCTTAGTACGTCCTCCATTGGTAGTTGCTATTTGTCCAATTATGCGTGTCCTAGCTGTAGCATATAGCTCTGCAATAATCTGGATATTTTTTTGGCAATAACCCTTAGCTTTTCAACATGTCTTTTCCTATATGTCGTAATTTGAAGTTACTGCCTCCATTGTTTTGCATTATTGATTCCATGATACACCGATAGCTCAAAAGATTGCTCAACGTGATCGTTGTAAGCTCATTGAAAGAATTTTTCACAGCCTCAATAAGATCCATAATGCTCTTTGGGACTTTTAATCTTTGATTGAATCAATGGTCCTGAAGAATCCCAAGTCCAAAATCTTAAGTCTGGACTATTTGGTGGCTGACATTTTAGTTGGATGTTCTAACCATTCTTTGTCCCACACCTCATAAAGTTAGGGTCATTGACCTCAATATGAGGTCTTGCATTGTCCTATTGTATTATCACACGTCTATCTTTTGAATCTGGGCATTTGTCTTTGATTGTTGGCATAACTTGATTCAATATCATGTCTTTCATCACTCCTCTTATGACACTTAAGATATGTTTCGTCTCTAAAGTGCCAACAAGTCTATTTTTACTTGATCTTTGGCCGACTCTTCATATGTAAAACAAATATACCTACTTTCCCATCCCAGATAATTTTCCCATCATGTCTCAATCTAGGCCTACCCACCAATTTAGGGAATAATATTTTTGGACTGTGTTGTTAGTATGAATCTTCTTCGTTTGGAAGAGTATAAAAGGTGGTTGTTTCTTTTGATAAGTGAAACCACTTTTCATCAAAACGTACATAATTGTAAAAATCATGAAAAATAGGGTTGATGGGTAGGGAACTCGGGATGATGTGACTGAAACAACATTCTAACCTTTTCAACTTACCAGCTTCAGTTAATTAGGGTTTCATAACACTTGAATGCCTTTTTATTTCCTTTCTTTGAGAGTCAAACCTACCTGATTTCTGCCAACATTTCTTTTACACTTGTTTTGCACAATTATGGCTTCATCATCATGCATTTGTTCTTTTTCTTTGTTCCACATCTTGTGTACGTGTTGTTGTGTTGAACTCTTTGCTTGTGTTTGTAATTACACCCCTATAAACTTTCCGTGCAATAGCACTACCTAAGAACTTTTCTATTATGCATCGTTTATCATCACTGCTCAATTTGGGTCGTGGCCCGTTTGCAGGTACAAAAAAGATGTTTTGCAGATCATCTACAGGAAGAGCATTAAGATCAAATAGGTTTAGTTGGGTTTCGAAATAAAGAGGCTGTAACAGTTGAAATCAATTTAAAAAGATTAATAGTATTACTCATACTAACAAGATGCATATCTTTTTTAGGAAGCTCATCAGTTAAGAATTCCAAGTCAAGCATGCTTGAATGGGAATAGTCTTGGGATGGGTGACCCCCTGGAAAGCTTCTCAGAATCTCAGGGCGTGCACATGTGGGGGCAAACTTTGCGGAAAAGGCTTGTGGTGGTTTGTGAAGACAGTACTAAAGGTCTGGATGTTGTTCAGGCATAACTACCTCGGGCCCTTCAGGGCGGGGTGTTACAGGTGGTATCAGAGCAATCCTGCGACAATGTGCTGATTCGTTGGATATCAGTCCTGCACTTAGCAGATTGAATTGGCTTATAGGTGCAACGAGGACGTTGCGATCCTAAGTGAGGATGATTGTAACGGTTGAGATTAATTTAAAAGGATTAATAATGCTACTCATACCATCTAGATGCATCTCCTTTTAAGGAAGCGCATCAGCTAAGATATTCAAGTTAAGCGTGCTTGCACGGAAATAGTCTTGAGATAGGTGACCCCCCTGAGAAGTTTCTCAGGTCGCGCACAAGTGAGGATAATGTGTGGAAAAGGCTTGTGGTGACTTGTGAGGACAGTACTAGAGGTTTGGATGGTGTTCAGGCGTAACTACCTCGGGCCCTATGAGGCGGGGTGTTATAGAGGCGGTGAAGAAGAAGGATGAACTCCAGGCGTGTTAATTTCTTGTTGTCGTATTAAATGCTATATTCATTGTAATCAATGAGTTGTATTTATAGTTGTAGTGTGTTTAATGTGTAATTGGAGGGATTTTTTTGAAAGAAAATCACTTATTTCTCTACAATATTATAAGAGG